CCCGGTGCTCCCGGTACCCCCGGTACCCCCGGGGCTCACCACGACCTTCCCGCCGGGCCCTTGGCTCTTGACGCTGACCCCCAGCCACTGCTCCTCTTTGCTCTCGCTCTGCGGGTCCACTGCGGGGCACGGGGGGGGTCAGCCCCGCCGGGACCCCCGCCCGGACCCCGGGACCCCTCCCGGTGCCCGCTGACCTCCCTCGTCGATGGGCACCCGGCGGCAGTCGGCGGTCCCGGTGCTCAGCGGGCAGGCGAACAGGGCCCCGCTCCGGTTGGCGCCTTGGCCGGGCAGCGCCCGCGCTCGGGGGGCTCCCACCAGCAGCCTGGCACGGTGGGCACCCCCTCGTCAGGGAACGGGGGGTCCCGGGGGTCGCAGAGACCCCCCCGGGACTGCCCGGGACCCCTCGGGACCCCCCAAAACCCCCGGACACCACCCGGGACCCCCCGGGACCCTCGGGACTGCCCGGGACCCCTCGGACACCCCCAAAACCCCCGGACACCACCCGGGACCCCACAGGACCCCCCGGGACCCTTCGGGACCCCACGGGACCCCACGGAAACCCCCCCGGGACTGTCCGGGACCCCTCGGGACCCCTCGGGACCCCACGGGACCCCTCGGGACCCCACGGAAACCCCCCCGGGACCGTCCGGGATCCCCCGGGACCCCCCTGGGACCCCTCGGGACCCCCCGGGACCCCCCCGGGACCCCCCGGGACTGTCCGGGACCCCTCGGGACCCCCCCGGGACCCCCCGGGACCCCCCGGTAGCAGCTGTGCCGCCCCCGCGCAGCTGTGCCACCCCCGTGCCAGCGCCGTGCCAGCCCGGCCGGGCAGCTGCTGGCCCGTGACACGCGTGGGGACAGGAGGGGACATTCCGGACACCCCAAAACCTTCGGACACCCCCGGGACAGCCCCGGACACCCCCGGGACAGCCCCGGACACCCCCAAAAACCCCCGGACACCCCCGGGACAGCCCCGGACACCCCCAAAAGCCCCGGACACCCGCGGGGCGGCCGCGGCCGCCGCGCCCGGGGGTGGCGGTGACCGGGGGTGGCGGTGACCGGGGGTGGCGGTGACCGGGGACGCGGCGGCGCCCACGGGGGGCGGCAGGGAGGGAGCGGCGGTAAAAATAAACCGGAATTGGCTGCAAATAACCCCGCGGCGACATGCCCGAAAATGGACGGAGCGCACCGAGGCACCGGGGGCCCCACGGAGCCGCGCCGGGGCGCCCGGAGAGGGGACAGCGCGACAACGGCAGCCCCGGCCCCGCCGGGGACAGCGGGGACACCGGGGGTTACCGGGGACAGCGGGGATACCGGGGACACCGGGGACAGCGGGGAGAGCGGGGACAGCGGGGAGAGCGGGGACACCGGGGACAGCGGGGAGAGCGGGGACACCGGGGGTTACCGGGGACAGCGGGGACACCGGGGGACACCGGGGACAGCGGGGATACCGGGGACACCGGGGGATACCGGGGACAGCGGGGGATACCGGGGACAGCGGGGGACAGCGGGGAATACCGGGGACAGCGGGGAGAGCGGGGACACCAGGGGATACCGGGGACAGCGGGGGATACCGGGGAATACCGGGGGACACCGGGGGACACCGGGAGACAGCAGAGGACACCGGGGGACAACCGGGGGACAACCGGGGGACACCGGGGGACAGCAGAGGACACCGGGGGACACCGGGGGACAGCAAGGGGACACCGGGGGACAACCGGGGGACACCGGGGGACAACCGGGGGACAACCGGGGGACACCGGGGACACCGGGGCCGCGCCGGTGGAACCGAGCCCCGCGCGGCCCCGCCAACGCCTGCAGCGGGCACCGGCGGCCAAAGCCGCCCTCGGTGCCAAGAACGCGGCGCGGGCGGCGGCGGCGACACCGCGGCGACAGCGGCGACACCGGGAGGGCGGGACACGGAGGGGACGGGGAGGGGGGCGCGGGTGACAGCGAGCGGGAGCTGCCCGGTGCGGGGGTCCCCATGGCTGAGACCCCCGGTAACGGCCCGAGGTGCCCGGGGGGTGTCGGGGGGGACGCGGGGACACGGGGGACACGGGGACACGGGG